CTAGAGGGCGGCCATTTGTCTATATATACAGTATATATATGATTTTGCACTTCCTTGTATAGGGGGCCCGCTGCTTCCGCTGATTAGTTATAGCAGAAACTGATCAATGGGTGCTGGCCAATGGATGAGCACCGGCACTCATTGATTAGCAAGGAGAGTGACAGGACACAGCACTTCTTAGTAAACAAGGCATAGCTGTGTCCTGTCAGTGACGATCTGCTGGATTTTTTTTCCCTGCAAAGCAGGGAATAAAATGCAGCACATTGCCTAGTAAAATGACCACACTGTGCACACTAAAACACTGGTTAGGCACACAGGTAACCTTTTGATCGTCCTAGATGTTTAACCCCTTCCCAGCCAGGGCCATTAATACAGTGACAGTGCATATTTTTAGCACTGATCACTGTATTAGTGTCACTGGTTCCCACAAAGTGTCAGTTAGTGTCAGATTGTCCGCTGCAATATCGCAGTCCCGCTAAGTCACCGATCACCGCCATTACTAGTATTAAAAAAAAATTTCAGTATATATGCCATAGTTTGTAGACGCTATATACTTTGCGCAATCCAATCAATATACCCCTCTTGGAATTTCTTTTCACTAAAAATATGTAGCAGAATACCTACTGGCCTAAATCGAAGACAGCTCTATTTGTGAGGAAAAAAATTACATAAATTTCATGTATGTACATCGCTGCATGACCACGCAGTTGTCAGTTAAATAAACGCAGCGCCGTATAGCAAAAAATGGCCTGGTCATGAATGGGGGGGGGGGGGGGGGGAGTAAGTGGTTAAGGTTTCACATAAAAAAATAAAAGCTGACACTTTTAAACACCCGTCAGTGGTAAATGGGTTTTTCTCAATCCTCTAGCTGTTACGTCATCAGGACAGCTCGTTCTGTTATAAAACAGCAGACTTACTGGCCAGATCACCAGGTGCAAATAAAGGGAAGAAAGCCTAAGAAAAGAAAACAAATGCAGCCATCGCACCTGAGAATTTGTAAGCTGCAATATAATAAATGTTTTCTTTTGGGTTTAATACCATTTTAAGCCTGTCTGTTCTTCAGCTTTAAAATAACTAAATATAAACTCTTGATAAGAAATACATTTTGTATTTCTCCAAAAAATTGCTTGGAATGAGTTATTGGATGTTTTGTTTGTATAAACTAAAGAGCCCAAATTCTTACAGCATCCCCACATCGCTCAGCATTGCTCTGTAATAATCCTACCACAGTCAGGCTTTGAGACTTCTGATATCATGTTGCTTGTATACCGGGGAGAGTAGGCTTACCGTCAGCTGCTGTACTTTGTTACTATTTTCCCCAAGTACATCTGTTGCGGGGACTCTGGTGTCTTGTTTATTTTACATGCAAATGTAATCAGCGTCTTGAAGTTCAGTCGCTTGTGCACACCGCGGAGTTCAATTTCTCACATCTCTCACTTACTAAAAAATAAAATATGATGTTACAGCAAGGTAAAGTAAAATGCTACACAGAAAACAAGCCTCTACAGTACAACAATGAGAACTTTGGGCAAGCAGCTACAGTGCCTTGAAAAAGTATTCATACCCCTTGACATTTTCCACATTTTGTCATGTTACAACCAAAAACATAAATGTATTTTATTGGGATTTTATGTGATGGACCAACACAAAGTGGCACATAATTGTGAAGTGGAAGGAAAAGAAGTGGTTTTCAAAATTTTGTGGCATGCATTTGTATTCAGCCCCCGGGTCAATACTTTGTAGAACCACCTTTCACTGCAATTCCAGCTGCAAGTCTTTTTGGGGATGTCTCTACCAGCTTTGCACATCTAGAGAGTGAAATGTTTGCCCATTCTTCTTTGCAGAATAGCTCAAGCTCTGTCAGATTGGATGGAGAGCGTCTGTGAACAGCAATTTAAAGTCTTGCCACAGATTCTCCATTGGATTTCGGTCTGGACTGTGACTGGGCCATTCTAACACATGAATATGCTTTGATCTAAACTATTCCATTGTAGCTCTGGCTGTATGTTTACGGTTGTAATCTTGCTGAAAAGTGAACCTCCACCCTAGTTTCAAGTCATTTGCAGACTCTAACAGGTTTCTTCTAAGATTGCCCTGTATTTGGCTCCATCCCTCTTCCCATAAACTCAGCATCCCCACAATATGAAGCTGTCACCACCATGTTTCACGGTGGGGATGGTGTGTTTAGGGTGATGTGCAGTGTTCGTTTTCCGCCACACATAGTGTTTTGCTTTTAGGCCAAAATGTTTCCTTATGGTCTCATCTGACCAGAGCACCTTCTTCCACATGTTTACTGTGTCCTCCACATGGCTTCTCACAAACTGCATACAGGATATCTTATGGCTTTCTTTCAAGAATGGCTTTTTTCGTGCCACTCTTCCAAGTCGGATTTTTGGAGTGCACAACTAATAGTTGTCCTGTGGACACATTCTCCCACCTGAGCTGTGGATTTCTGTAGCTCCTCCAGAGTTACCATGGGCCTCTTGGCTGCTTCTCTGATTAATGCTCTCCTTGCTCGGACTGTCAGTTTAGGTGGACAACAATGTCTTGGTAGCTTTGCAGTTGTGCCATACTCTTTCCATTTTCGGATTATGTATTGACCAGTGCTCCGTCAGATGTTCAAAGCTTGGGATATTTTTTTATAACCTAACCCTGCTTTAAACTTCTCCACAAGTTTATCCCTGACCTGTCTGGTGTGTTCCTTGGCCTTCATGATGCTATTTGTTCACTAATATTCTCTAACAAACCTCTGAGGGCTTCACAGAACAGCTATATTTATACTGCGATTAAATGACACACAGGTGGACCCTATTTACTAATTAGGTGACTTCTGAAGGCAATTGGTTCCACTAGATTTTAGTTAGGGGCATCAAAGTAAAGGGGGCTGAATACAAATGCACCACATTTTTCAGATATTTATTTGTAAAAAGATTTGATAAATTTTCCTTTCACTTCACAATAATGTGACACTTTGTGTTGGTCTATCACATAAAATCCCAATAAAATATGTTTACATTTTTGGTTGTAACATGACAAAATGTGGAAAATTTCAAGGGGTATGAATAATTTTTCAAGGCACTGTAAATAGAATTAAAGCTGAACACCAGGCAGGTATGAGGATCCATTTACATGGGTATACACAGGTTATTGCAGGCAGAAGATCCTGCAGAAAATACACATCTAAAGTATTTGCGTTTACATTGAATTTCCATTTAGGATGGAATTGGAAAGTTTTAGGGCTCTGGTCAGCTTTTCATTACTGTCTGCGCCACCCATTTGAAGAGATTAATATCTTGGGAAAGAAAAAAATACCAAGAACTTGATAAATTCCCCCCAAGAAAATGTGTTTGTAAATCACTTTGTTCCATCATATTCGTTATTTTAGAACGATTCCTTTTTGGAATTTGTTTTGTATATTTGGATTTAATTCATATATTTCTTGTTCTGAATAGATTCATATTTTGGGAAGTTATTTTGGAAGATTGGTTTAATACATTTTAATGTGTATATTTGTTATTTCGGGAGATTACTTATGCTCTCTGGAGTCATCCCTGCTAGTCCAACCTACAAAGACAAATAGAAGGAGCTGATTGGACGATATCGACTGCAGTCGTGTGTATCCAAAAGTAACGAATGGAACAGAATTAATTTTGGATTCATTCGTTAAGTTATGATTCTGAGATTCTGATAGATCCACCTCCATTCAACCCAAGCACAATAAATAGGAATCATCTTTTTTCTCTTTTATACCTTACTGTATCCACTGTAAGACCAGGCCAATTCTGGCACTTGTTTACAAGCAAAATTCTGTATTTTTTGCTAGAAAATTACTTAGAACATCAAACATTAGATATTTTTCAACCAGAGGCCCTAAAAAATAAAAAATGCAGCCATTGCAATTTTTTATGTCACACAAAGGTTTTTCAAACTCAATTTTTCTGCAAAAAATACATTTTAAAGAATGTTAATGCAAAAAAACACACAATATATAACCCATTTTTTTAAAATATAAAAGATGATGTTATGCCGAGTAAGTAGATTCCTAACATGTTGTTCTGCATTATTGTGTGCATGTTATATCTGCCTAGAATTTCAATTTCAGTTTAACCACTTCTTGACTGTTAATGCCGGCTACAGTGTGTTTGTCTAGTTCTGTCAGGGTGTCATATGATGTCCTCCTAGAACGCCCCCTCCCCCTCCCTGCACCCCCAGTAATACTTAAAAATCTCCATTGGTGAGGCTTTAAACATGTTTACAGGTTACCAGTTTACAGTTACAAAGGAGGTATAGAGCTAGAGTTATTGCTCTCGGTATAATGTTCGTGCAGATACCTCACTGGTATGGTTCAAACACTGTTTACATATGCATGCTTGACCTACGTATGCGTTCGCCTCTGCGCACAAGCACGGGGTATGGGGCTCTTTAAAAAATATTTTGATTATTATTTTTTTTATTATATTTTTTATTTTTACACTGACCCTTTAAATTTTCTTTGACCACTTTTATTGCTATCACAAGAAATGTAAACATCCTTTGTGATATCTGCAAAGCATGACAGGTCCTCTTTACGGAGATACCTGGGCTCTATAAGACCCCAGATCTCTCTTCTACCTTTGAAAGTATCAGATAAAAAAAATCATTGATCTGATGCTTTCGCCCCCAAAAATAGTCTTGTTTACATTCTCCCTAACGGAAAAAATACTCATCATTTCTGCTCTCCTAGACCATAGAGATGGGATGTTGGGGTCGCCGATCACCTCTATGGCCAGCTGCATCAACCACTGGATCAGATTCTGGGCTCCCCAGTACGACCGGTAAGTCTGGAAAACAAGAAAACCACGCCAGGAGGGGAAGACCCCTCTCGTTGCTTCTAAAAGGGATCCAGCGGTCAAGCAGCCACGTGTATTACTTTTAGCAGAAAGGGAATCAGCAGCAGATTTTAAACCACTTCAAAACCACGATGTATATATATGTATTGTGGACTGAAAGTGATACTAAACCCAGGACCCTGCATTCACTATATCTGGTCTCCCACAGTACACACAACAGGGAAATGCAATTATTTTAGTAAATATAAACTGCTAAATACCTTTTCTCATCAGCAGTTAGAGCAGTCTTGTGACTTCAGCAGACCATTGGTTAAAGCTTGTAGGAGGTTACTTTCTGCTCTAGGAGGATATGAAACCTCTGACCCTCTGTCTGGACAGCGCTGATTGGCCTTGCGCTGATCACATGCACTCTCCCAGGAAAAAAAAAACCTCTCTAGTAATACACACCAAACTAAGCATGTGCATGTGGCTACGGGTTCAGTCTGTATCAGGTGGTCATTTCAGCAAGAGGAGGGGGAGAGAAAACAGGATCAAACAGCCTTTTTACATAATGCGGAGGATTAACCCCTTAGGTTCCACAGTTTAACAAGTTTAACAATTTAACATATTAGCAAGCATGCTTTACTGCATATACAAACTGATTTTACTGTTGTTGGTTTAGTAACACTTTAAAGTGGGTATTTATTACAATATGTTTCCACTTCATATGTAGTATATTTTTTATAATAATGAAAAATGCTAATGCAAAAATAATCGCCTGATTGTCCAAGATTTAAAGACTACTGCACCACTCTCATCTGAATAAAATAAAAGGATCTAAATCAATTTGAATTATTTGTTATGTTTTTTTCAGATGCTTGAAACATTAATAAAAGGCCCAAACTATTGCATCATGTCATCCGAATTAAATGAATGAATACAAATGAATTTGTTGTTTTCATTATAATTAATTTCAGATTCATTGAAATTTGTTATTTTTGTGATTTGGATACATCCGAATCTCTGAATAGTGAAAATATTGGCCAAATTTTGATTTGTAATGAAATGAATCACACATGTCTACTAAAATCAAATTTAGTGAGAAAGGGTCCCAGTCCCAGTGACAACCCCACCCACCATTTCTTGTCCGGTATCAAGGGACGGGATATGAGGTGCTGCAAAACCAGGGCCACAGCCCTCAGCAAAGGAGGATGAAAATAGATCAACTTTTAGATGTATTTGTTTCACTTTGGTGTCCTGTTTTCTCTGATCAGGCGTCTTTATATCAGTCCTTTGTATCTCAGCCCCAGGATATTTCAGCTAATTTTTTTTTACCTTTTTAAATATCTCAAGTGCTATTTACTGAAGCAGGACATTAAAATTTAAAAAGGGAATTAGTATTCTATTGTTGGCAGTGCAAATGAATGCATATTATGTCTTGCATACAGTCTTCCCTACAATTGCTAATTACTTTATTTGGTCAACAAAGCTTGGGGAGTTAGAAACAGCTTTCCCCCTGGAGTGTTGGCTTTGAAAAGAAAAAAGTGAGATCTTGTGAAGGCTTAATTTATGTAGGTATTATTATTATTCTCTGGGCACAAACATGTTGTACCGCACATTATTTTTTGTCATAAATAAGTAAACAAGATATAAAGCAAAAAGGAGCTAAACTGGGAGGGCCAATAAATCAGCAAAATCAAGGTACATACCTTCATATTTTTCATACTAAAGTGCTAGTAGGTCCCTAACTTCAGGGTCCAGGTTGCATGAAAAAGCTGACTATAAATTGGACCTCTACTTAAAATTTTAAGTTTGGAAATGTAAACCATAAAGCTAGCCATACAGCAAAAGGTAGTTTTTTGAACAAATATTCTTAGCTCATTTAATGACTTGAAATTTCGTTAGGAAGTTTTGTCAATATCAATAATAATTTACTACAGAAAATGCTTCAAATTTTGCATGTAACATTCTCTTTTTGAATAACTTTCCCAAATGAAACTACATTGTACAAATACTGACAACACAATTGGTAGACAGGGACAGAGTGTTGTCACCATATAACAGGAGCTAAAGTATCAAGGACCTTTAAGACAGGACCTCCAGGTAATCTTTAATGAAAGTTGCAGGTGAATACATATTGAAAATTACTTTTGAAATGGCATTACATTTTAAAGTTTATATTAGATTGAAGTGAATAGGTTTAGATTTACCTTAAAGAGGAGTCTTCCCCCAAAAATAAAGTAAGGGTCCTCTTATTAAAAGTCAGCAGCTACATCATTTGTAGCTGGTGACTTTTAATAAGAGGACCCTTACTTGTCCAGGTATCCAGTGCTGTGCTCCCCCGAGCTGGTTCTTCTCTGGTCTTAGGGTTCCTCACACTGGCATGTTTGCTAAGGGAATCTGGCTGTGAAGCTGCAAGGCATTCCCGCTGCGTTTGAGTGAGGAGCGCTGTGCATTGTGAATGGTCCTGCAGTCTTCTGGGACTTGTGACGTATACTAGAAGGTTGTGAGGGGGGGCAGGTACCTGTCAAAACCAAGTACCTACTCCCTGATCAAAAAATAAAAGTTTCCAAAAGTGGGAGAGGAGGTGTGGAGGAGGCGGAAAAGTGGAACTTCACTTTTTGGGTGAAGTTCCAGTTTAAATTCTGGGTGTGGGAGGACAGTGTTGCGTAGATGTTCAGTTCTGTGTATTGCCATACTTGGAAATTGTTATGGCATTTCTGCTTTAAGAACTTTAAGAGCTAGTTGGAGGAGTTGGAGCAGGAAGTTGGTGACCTGCTAACAATATGACTGCACTGCTGAGACACAACAATAATGACTAGGACACTTGGGCGCTTGGATACCAAGGTACCCTTGGATCTGGCATGAACAATTTTCAATCTGCTCACTAGCAATGGGCCTGGATGGGACCTTACCTGAGATACAAAAGGCCTTGCTGCTTAACTCAGAAGGTTTTCTCAAATCTGGGAGCAGATTCTTCATACTCAGCTACAATACAAGTCCTTGAACAGTATTTTTATCCAACCACAAATGCTTCTGTGGCCACAGTTTGTTTTCGCAAACACTGTCAGTGTGAGGAAGAATCTGTTCACCACTATGTTGTTGAGCTGAGACAGCAGCACCCTGCAGATTTAGAACCTTACATGATGAAATTTATTTATTTATTTATTTATTTATTTATTTATCGAGTTTATATAGCGCCAAAGGGTTTGCTCAGCGCTGTACAATAGAGGGGGGGACAATACATGAAACAGTACAGTAATATCCAACAGCACACAAGGGGTAAGAGGGCCCTACTCTTTCGAGCTTACAATCTAGGAGGGAAATGAAATGAAATGAAATGATTGGATACCAGCTTACTGAAAAGACTACAAACGAAAAAAACTGAGGGAAAGTCTGTTTATGAAGCCAGATACGCTTACATTGCTAAGAGCTGTGGATTTAGTGTGGCTGTCCCAGAAGTCAGGAATATGCTGTGCCCCATGGATGGTAATGAAGCTCCTGTTCAAGTACAAAAACCAACTGAGAGCACACTATTCACTAAACTAGAACTCAGTATAGGCTATTTACAAATCCCACTTCCATTGCAGGCCAGGAACCTTTCATTTCACATATGGGACTGTGCTCAACTCTGAGTTATTTTCAAAAAATAATGGTCAATATCTTTGAAGGAATACCTTTGAAGGAACAATTTACTTGGATGATAGCCATGCACTCTCTCTAGAGGAACACAATTGGATTCTCACGTGCTTATTTTTCACAGACTGATGATATATAACCTCACCCTAGAAGAAGAAAAATGTGTTTTTGCACAAACTGAGCTTGACTTAGTAAGCCACAGACTCTCATCACTAGGTATGCAACCTTTGCAGTCCAACATTGATGCTATACACAATTTACCTGAGCCAAAAAATAAAGCAGAACTGGTTTTAACTGGTTCTAGATTTTACAAACTATTATTTAAGATTCGTAGCTGACTATGCTGAAATCACAACGCCTTTCCATGCCTTACTCAAAAAGGATGCAGATTGGCAGTGGACACAGGTCTGCTCCCAGTCTGTATATGATTTGAAACACAGTATAGCATATGCGACAACACATGTCCATTTTTCACCAAATGCACTAGAATGAAGCACATCTTAACATCACAATGCCACCCACAGGCTAGTGTGGAACATTTAAGACACATCTACATGAGGGACTCTTCTTAAGCTGCACTACAGGTCAGCTCCTCATAAAGCCACCGCGGAATCACCTGCAAAATTGATGATAGGTTGTGTTCTATGAACCCCATTAAAAGGTTTCGGATCACCAACAAAAGTAACAGAACCCCCAAACCTGTGAGCTACAATGGAGAGGTACAAGGTCAAAGCAAAAAGCTTACAGTGATGCAATAAGAAATGCCAAGACAACTACACTCATTCCTGGTCAGTGGCTGAGAATAAGGAAGCCAACAAGTCAAAGTTTGTCCCAGTCTCTATATATCCTGTGTGAATCCACAACCAACTGGAACCAGTAACCTATAGGCTAGAGGGTGGATCAACTTGGCATGTGAGCAGGTTAGTACTTGTTCAAGTTCCTCTGGTTTTTCAGAACACTACACTTAATTGACTTAATTGGCATGATGTCTCTAGCCCTACCATACCACCACAAACATCTGGAAGCCTGGACAACAACTCTCACTCTAATAAACTGAAGAGTGGAACTCAGCAGAGTTCTGCATGCACCAAAACTTTACCTAGGCACCTGGCTGACTATGTACTTTATAATGTTTTATAATGTTTCTATAGCTCTACTTTTCTTAAATAAATACACCCTAAAATCTTTTAGCCAGCCTCTAATTTTTGTGTTTGTAATTTTAAATAGCCAGTTTAGAGGAAAACAATAGTGAAAAAGCTATTATTTTCTGAATATCATTTCTTCATAGTTAGCATAACTGGAGATGTGTCCTTTGCCTATGATCTTTGTGCTACAAGGTGTCCCTCTTTCTCAGCTCAGAAGAAGGCTAAAGTCAGAATATCCACTAGTTTACTTTATTGTGGTATCAGGAAAGTCGTACAAAATTGTGTTCTCTGAATGATGTGTTATTATGCACAGCAAGACTTCAGCAGCAGGGTGGCCTTGTGCATTATAGAAATGCCTGGATGAAACGAGAATCCCTGGTGAATTGAGAATCTCTGGGTTCACAGACTGATTCACTTGTATACCTTTTGACTGGTTTTTAGGTTTGACTAAAACAAACTGTTCCATATAAATTACCTTAATTCCTTCTTTTTTAATATTCAGGCCTGAAGGACACCTACTCTTCTGAAATATGTTCCTTGTTATTTATTTAATCTTCCTGATT